CTTATTCCACATGAGATATTTCAAGTGAAATGACCCAGGTCAAGAATTTTAAATACCTGGAAATCGCAGGTTAAAAGTTTACACAATAGAGTTTCCCATTTTATTTTAAATTGGAAAAAAAACTTTTTTTTTTCGTAAATTTTATATAAATAATTTAAATTCTATAAAAAAAAATATATATATTTTTCAATCAAACTTTTAGAAATGTAACATAACTTCAAAATTGAAAAATGGTTTTTAACGCAAACAAAAAAATAAAAATTAAATCCTATTTAAAATATTTAAATTCTATTAAAATTTAAAAATTGTGCTACAGCATCCAATTTAACAAAAATACGCAATATTTTTTTATTTACTTGATAATGAGAAAAATGTCTATTTTTTCTATTATAAATTCGAAAAGTGAGATTTTTTTTTCCTTAATTTTCTGATAAGTTGAAAATAAAAAGTCCACTCGCCTTATTAATTTTTCAAAAATAATTTATCTAATGTCCTGACCGAATAGAGAATTTTGATGATATTTATATATATTTCAATATATAATTATTATAATATAAACTTTTTTTTTATTCCTTTCAAAAAAGAAGAAACTAAAAATTATTATTATTTTTTTTTATTGAAAAATTGAATTTTATTATTTATTTTTATTTTATTGAATTTTTTTTTTGAGTGAAATGATGAAACTATTTAAAAAAATTACAAATGTTTATTATGCAATTATATTTTACTCGATTGCTTTGTTGACAGATATTTATATAAGGCTAAAAAATATGGTTTCGTTTCACTTACTGAACATGTGTGACATTGGTTAATATTTAAACAACTGTGGTCGAGAATTTATTACACAATGTAAAATAAAAAAAAAAAAAAAAAATTACTTATTACTCTCTGGACTCGAAAAAAAATTGATGGTCTCATCAAATTTGGTACACATACGTCTTGTTTAAGGTACTTTGAAAAAAAAAATTTTTTTTTTTTTTCAAAAATTTTAATGAAAAATTTGTCCATACACGGAGAAAAAAAAATGGAAATACAAATAAAGTAACTTTTACTATACTTTAAAAATAAAACCTGAACTTTTCGCAGTTTCTGGTAATTTTTACTCCAGATATAGTAAAATTTACTCCGAAAATAGTAAATTTTACTATTTTTAGAGTAAAAATTCCTAGAAATTCTCAGAAACTATATGAACAGTTACGGTTTTACTTTTAAAGTATAGTAAAAGTTACTTTATTCATTTTTCCATTTTTCTCTGTGTAGAATGAATGTTAAAAATTTCTCAAACTTTCTAGTTAAATTTTAAACATTATTGCTTCCTCGTGGAGGAAGCTTTGTAGTCCTTTCGTTTATAAAAATTTTCAAAATGGCGGAAACAAATTTTTTTCTATATAGAAACATGTTATATGAGATAAATTACCGTATAAATTTCCATAAATTACCGCATAAATTTCCATAAATTACCGCATAAATTTCCATAAATTACCAAAATAAAATTTTCTAATTGTCGTTCGCGCTATATATATTTTTGTAAATTACCATGAAATTTTTCATAAATTACCGAAATAAAAATCTTTAATTGCAATTTATGCTTTACATATTTTTATGAATTATAGCCAAAATTTCTATAAATTTCCATAAATTACCGCATAAATTTCCATAAATTACTGAAATTAAATTTTTTATTGCCGTTCACGCTATATATGTTTTTGTAAATTACCAAAATAATAATTTTTAATTATGATTTATGCTTTACATATTTTTATGAATATTTTAGACAAAATTTCTATAAATTACCGCATAAATTTCCATAAATTACCTCGAAAGTTTCCGTAAATTACTGAAATAAAAATTTTTAATTGTCGTTCGCGCTATATAATATTTTTGTGAATTACCCCAAAAATTTCTATAAAAATTTAAAATCAAATTTCAACTATTTTATAGAATTCAAAAAGCAAAGAATTTTTTTTTTAATTTGTTTAAAAAAATTAAAAAATTATAAAAAAATTTTTCCGGACCACCATGGATATTTATTTCTTGACACTTTATCTTCAAAAATATGTATTGATATTTATCATTTTGATAAAAAAATATTTTTAAAGTTTCAGACACCAAATCGTGCGCTACGCGGAGAATCACCCATATATATATATATATATTATATATAAAATTGTTTAAAATCAAAATTCGTTACAAAAATTTGTTTATTTAATAACAATTTTTTTTTATCTTTAATTACTAAAAATGCAGTCAAGGCAAATCATATATATGATTAAAACTGAAAAAAAAGTTATGACAGGTGAGATTATATTAAATTGTGTGATAAGAAGCTTGTAAGAGGCAAACCGAGACGCCATCAGGGGAATTTTTTTTTCTTGGATACTGTTTTCATCGTCATAATAATAATAATTATATTATAATAATGATAATTATTATTATTATTATTAATAATATTGTTATTATTATTATTGTCATTATTTTTATTATTATTGTACTTCCTTGTACGAAAGGGAAAATTTTGTTATCCCGTTTACTCGTGAATCAATTATTATTATTATTATTATTATTATTGATTTTTATTAGAAACTTAATTTTTCCTTACTCATATTATTTTTTAAAATTAATAAAATTACACTCATCTAAATTCTTAAAAAGAAACAAAAATTACGCTCTAAATACACTTTCCTTAAAATATGATTATACTTATCTATTAGAAAAAAAAAAATCGTCATTTTATTTTTTCTCGACAAAAATATATTTTTTTTTTTCCTTATTAATTTGTGAACACTTGTGTCATTAAACATAATGTCAAAATATGTAAACAGTTTGTGAACGTTACTCTTCTCCTTTTTTTTTTAAGGCGTCATAAAAATTGATTCTTTGTATACATAGGTGAAGTGTCTGTAAAATTACGTTTTTTTTTTTTAATTTTTTTGAAGATAGGAATTAATTTATTGTATTTTGAATTGAATCAATTTCGTCAGTATTCGATAAAATTCATAAATATATATTATATTTATATCGTCACTTGTCTTTTTTTATATTTTACGAAATATAATGTAAATAAAGACCTAGTTTACTTGCAGGTGCTTTTCAATTTTTATGTCAAGAAATTTTTCTCAAGAAATATTACTGATACAATTTACAAAAATGGTTTTTTTTTTTTTTTTTTAATTTTAAATTAGCAGAATTCTTATTCAAATGAATTTTAAGTTATTTGAATTTTTAAATACTGAAATTTTAAATTTAGCGTATTTTTATTTGCTTGATTTATTATTTAGTATAGAATCGTTAAAATGTAGAATTTTCATTTTGATCGAAATTTTAAATGTCCGAATAATTAAGCCACGGAAAGGATTCGGCGCGAATTTTCGAAATTGTCCAATCAGAAATTATTTAAGAAAATTGTAATTGGTCAATTTCGAAAATTCGCGCCAAAATCTTTCCATGGCTTATTTGTTCGGACATTTAAAATTTCGGTCAAAATGAAAATTCTACATTTTAACGATTCTACTAAATAATATAATTTGAGCAAATATATGAAAATTCGGTGAAACAAAAATTCAGACAAATAAAAATTCAATAAATTTGAAATTTTAGTATTTAAAAATTTGAATTATTTAAAATTCTATTAAATAAGAATTCGTCGAAATTAGTTATAAATAAAGTATATAGGTATATAGATTAATTTACTTGAGGAAATTAATTTCTGACAAATAAAACCTGAATTGCGAAAAGATGATTATTATCGTCCTATAATGATTATTTAAATTAATTGGAAAATCCTTAAGTCAATTTATGTTAAAAACTTATTTTCAACATTAAATTATGCAACATGAAACTATTTCTCGGAATTTTCAATATTATAATTTCCTTGATGCCCTACTTGAAAACTTTTTCAAGTGGATAAAATTTAAATTATATTAAGCACTGAGGCGTGATTTAATGTTTTTGTTAAAATTCCCTTGAATTAATATTATCAAAAATTTATTTCAAAAAATTAATATATATATATATATATATTATTTTTGAGCTGAATTTTTATTTCTTCGAATTAGTATTTTACAGAATTTTTATCAAAACGATTATCTATATTACAGAATTTTTTTAACCGAAAATTTACTTCACAGAATTTTTATTTGTTCGAATTTTTATTTGTCAGAATTTTTATTTACTTATTGAATTTTCATTTAACATAATTGGCATTTTAAAGAATTTTTATTGGGTAGAATTTCATTGCATAGAATTTTCATTTTATTCTTTCAGATTAATTGTAAATTTGTTCGAATTATTATTTGATATAATTTCCATAAAATCGATTTTTCTGCAGAATTTTTACTTAACCGAAAAATCATTTAACAGAATTTCTAATTGATAGAATTTTCATTTGTCCGAAATTGCAAATGGCCGAACAATTAATCGATTTTTGAAATCAACCAATCAAAAATTATCCATAAAATTGTGATTGGTTAATTTTAAAAATCACGCCAAAATCGATCATTTGTTCGGCCATTTGCAATTTCGGAAAAATGAAAATTCTATTTAGAAATTCTGGTTAAGTAAAAATTCTGTAGTATGAAAATTCGGTTATATGAAAATTATATGAAATAATAATTCGAACAAATGAAAATTCATTTGAAAGAATAAAATGAAAATTCTATGCAATCAAATTCTACCCAATAAAAATTCTTTAAAATGCCTATTATGGTAAATGAGAATTCGAACTAATAAAAATTCCATGAAGTGAATTTTCGGTTATATAAAAAATTCGTGTAATTTAGAAAATCGTTTTGATGAAAATTTTGTAAAATACTAATTCGAATAAATAAAAATTCGGCTTACAAAATAATTACGACAAATGAAATTCCAAATGAAAATTCTAGCTAATATAATTTTTAGAATATAATAATGCGTCATTTAAATTATTTGGTTAAGTGAAATTATAACTATTTCTTTGTGTTTTATATTTGTTAAATTTAATTTTTGAATTTTTATTATTTCAGACATTTGGCCACGATGTGCTGATGAATATGAGGGAGGATGAATGGGGTGTATTATGCTCAAAAGATAAAACTTCGATGAGCGTTGTCCTAAGGGACAGGCTAATGACGGATGCAGCACTTGGTGGTTCAAAGCCAATTAAAACTGAACACAGCTACAGTCTTCTTGCTTGTAGTCCACCACCAAGTCCATCAGAATCTCCTAGTGACGCTAATCATCACCACCACCACCACACTCCCCACAGTCTGGACAGCACCAATTCAGCTATCTCTGCTGGCTCGACAACCGTTATTTCCTGTTCTAGTAATACCACTGTCGAAACTCACAAAACCATGGAATTGCGAAGTCGTATTCACGGTAAAGATTATACATATATACAAAGTTTCTTTTATTCTCCTTCTCTGTCAAGTTCAAAAAAAAATTATTCCTAGAATTAAAAAAAAAAATACAACCATATAAAGTTTTTTTAGTTTATAAAAAATTTTATAATTAAAAAATAAAATTGATACCATATTTGGTATTTATATTTTTTAAGGCCAGGTCCAAGTGAGGCAGCGCCATCTACATTGATACTAAAATTTTGGAAAATTTTCAACAGCCTTTTCTTGAAAACAAGATGGTAAAATGCTTTTTCCTTTATGGATAATTGATTATTGGCAAGATATACACCAGCTAAAACTTTTTTTGAGTTAAAATAATAAAAAAAATTTCATGTCAATAAATTAAATATGAGCACTTTTTTCACAAAAACTGTAACAGTACTTTCTCAGAAATTACAATCAAAAATGCAATTTTCATTTGGAAAATTAATAAACGATAAAAAATACACGACCTAAGATTTACCAATCACGAAAATAACAAAAAAAAATTTTATTAAATATTTAACATATTGATACTGCTTTACTGATTGTGACAGCCCTTTGGTAGATTATGTATTTTAGGTGGTTAGCAACAGCGCCAATCTCCTCCTTTCGGCAAAACTGCGAAACGTCTGGTGACATATATAACCTGCCAAACGGCTGTCATAATGAGTAAAATATGTTATGTTAAAATATTTTTTTTTGTTATTTTCGTGATTGGTAAATCTTAGGTCGTGTATTTTTTAGCGTTTATTAATTTTCCAAATGGAAATTGCATTTTTGATTGTAATTTCTGAGAAAGTACTGTTACAGTTTTTGTAAAAAAAGTGCTCATATTTAATTTATTGACATGAAATTTTTTTTATTATTTTAACTCAAAAAAAATTTTAGCTGGTGTATATCTTGCCAATAATCAATTATCCATAAAGGAAAAAGCATTTTACCATCTTGTTTTCAAGAAAAGGCTGTTGAAAATTTTCCAAAATTTTAGTATCAATTTAGATGGCGCTGCCTCACTTGGACCTGGCCTTAATATATTATTTACTATGAGCTAAGAATTATACCGGGTGGATTTTTTTTTATAGGTTTCAGTTTAGTTGATAGACCTTTTTCTTTTTTTTTTCGTTACGAATGATAATTCCCCACATTAGGCTGCTTTCACAATAGCTGAATCTCTCGACGAAACATAATGCGCGCGCATCCATTGCCAACTGTCGATAAAAAATTTATTTTACCTATTCCACTATTCCCCGCACAAATTCAGCTTGTAAATATTATTAAAATTATTAAATAATTTGTTTTGTTAAAAAAATATAAATTTTATATCCTTTTAGATAACATTTTTTAAAAAATTTTTAGTACTAAATTTTTTGTCAACAGTTGGCAATGGATGTGCGCACATCGTCTCATTCTAAATAATCGTCAAGACTATACGATTTAGCTATTGTGGAAGGAGTCTTAGTCCGGTTGATTTTTCTATAAAAAATTTTATGGGGGAAATTAGTTTTTTTTCTCCATTTAAAATTACATGAACAAATTTTTGAAGGACCTTGTGACACACTTTAATTTTGGTTCAAAAGAACAAAAAAAAAAAAAAACAGAGGTATCTTTTTTTTCGATACACTTCAATCCTATAATGGGGAGTGAGAGAAAAAGAATTATGACTTTCTTTTTTTTTTTAGACCACCCTAGTGCGTCCAAAGACCTTGAAAATCCTTAAAAGTCTTGAATTTTCTCGAATTTTTTTTACACTCCTTGTAAAAACTTTAAAATTACTTTGAATTTTTAAATAAAATCTTGAATTCTGAAAAATTTCGAAACAATGATTCCTTTACCTTGAAATATTAAAAATAGTAATTTATTATTAACTAGCAAAATTAAACGCACGCAAGCGCGCCAAATTGAGTGATTAATTATTTGTTATAAAGAAATTAAAGATTAATATTATTAATAATAATTTAATTTATTAAAATATTATTACATATTAAATGATAATAATGAAAATTATGTTTACAAGCCTCGGATTATACTTTTTCCGACTTTTTTCAAAAATACGACTTTTATCGACTTATTTTAATAAAATGCGATATTATTTTTTACATTTGAAAAAAAATGTAAATAAAATACATATTTTCTTTTGTATAAAATATAGATCTTCTTCAGATCTTCTTCAATTCAATTATTTAACAAATTTTGAACTAAAATGATTCTTCACTAAATTAATTATTTTTAATAATTTTAATGAAATACATCACAAATTCAATTATATCAAAATTATTTTTCCAATAAAATTTTTATGAAATTTAACAATTGTTTATAATTAAAAAAAAATATCACAATAAAATTGAATTATTTGTTAAAAATTTCAATTCAAAATAAACTAAAATTCAATTATTACCCGAAATTTTAATTCAAAAACAATTAAAATTCAATAATTATCAAAAATTTTCAATTTAAAATTTAATTATTTGCCAAGTTTTTAATTTAAAATAAAATAAAATTCAATTATTTTTAAAAATTTAAATTGAAATTCAATTATTTTCAAAATTTTCAATTCAAAATCAACTAAAATTCAATTATTACCCGAAATTTTAATTCAAAATCAATTAAAAATCCAATAATTATCCAAAATTTTCAATTTAAAATTTAATTATTTTCTAAAATTTCTATTCAAAATTAATTATCCAAATTATCAATCAAAAATGAACTTAAATTAAATTATTATCCAAAATTCAATTATTTCCTAAAATTTTCAATTCAAAATGAACTGAAATTCAATTATTCAAAAAATTTTTAATTTAAAATCAATAAAAATTGAATTATTTTTTAAAAATTTCAATTCAAAATAAACTAAAATTCAATTATTACGCGAAATTTTCAATTTAAAATCAATTAAAATTCACTAATTATCCAAAATTTTCAATTTAAAATTTAATTATTTACCAAGTTTTCAATTTAAAATGAAATAAAATTCAATTATTTTCTAAAATTTCTATTCAAAATTAATTATCCAAATTATCAATCAAAAATGAACTTAAATTAAATTATTATCCAAAATTTCAATTAAAATTCAATTATTTCTTAAAATTTTCAATTCAAAATGAACTGAAATTCAATTATTTTCCAAATTTAAAATCAAATAAAATTTATTTATTCTCGAAAATTTGAATTCAAAATTAATTGAATCTTCAATAATTTGAATTTAAAAGCATCTAAAATTTAATTATTTCTAAAATTTTCCATCGAAAATTTTTTTTTGAAATCTAATAATTTCAATTATAACTCTAAGGAAATTCAATTATTTTTAACTATTTTAATAATATTCTTTGAAAATTCAACTATCTGAAACCATTTTTTAATTAAAAATGATTTTCAAATTATTGTATTTTGTCCGCATTTTCTAATAAATTTTTAGTGAAATCATCTAAAATTTTAATTACAAATCACTTAAAGTTTCAATTAATTTCAAAAATCTCAATTTTAAATCTTTGAAAATTCAATTAAATTTAAAAAATGTTTTCCAAAAATTGTTTGATAAATTATTTTTAGTGCTGTAAAATTTAATAATTGTTTGAAAATTAACAATATCTTTTGAAATTTAATTATTTCTAAAAATTTCAACTTTAACCCTTCGAAAGGATTATTATTAAAAAAAAAATTTTATTTAAAAATCTGTAAAATATTTTTGTTAAAATAAAAAACAAATCTACTTTTTTTGGAATATAAATCGACTAAAACGACTTTTTTGTGTCTTTAAGTTGATTCGAGGCCTGTGTTTTTATAATTAATATTTAATAGGTATTCGTTGGCCCCTGGTACCTTAAAAATTAATTTTGAAAAATAAATTTTTTTCAAATTACTATCTTGTACGAAATTTCCTGGCGCATCTTTTTTCTCATCATAAATTTTTTGTATTTGTATAGAATTTTTGAATCAATATACAACTTTAAAAAAAATTTCGTTGGTAAACGTTGTGTACTTCAGCTTCGTGAATTGAATTTTCGAATTTGGAATTTTAAAGAAACTTATTCCGAAATTTGGAAACACAATTATACAACTTTGGCAGTAAAAATGAGAAAAAGAATTGTCAAAATTTGACACGTCATAAGATTAATATTCAAAAAAACACGTGAAATCAGAAAAGGCCAACTTCAAGTTAGGGCAGAAAGGACAGACCAAGCATTTTATTATTATATATAATTAATTTTTTAAATAATAAATAATTATTAATTGTACTATTAAATATTAAAAAATTATTAATTAATTTAATAAATAGTAAATAAAATACTAATTTTTAAAATTCGGCTAAATATAGAAATAAATTAATTTAATTGAAATTTAAAAATACCTAATAATAATTACTTGAATATATATCCGCATTAAATTTTTATTCTCTAAACAATTTTAAAATTGAAAAACTTAACGTTATCATATATTATGTATAAGTATAATTGTTGGTAAATATTACGTAAGTAAAGAAAAACACATTAATCGAATGAGTGCGATTATAAATTCTATTTAAAAGTTGTTAAGGTATAGCCAATTTTACAAAGTAATTTCATTATCAATATAGATGACTGGAGCAATTGGAAATTGGCACTGGTAATATTTTCTTATCAAACGTTATTTTTACATAGTTAGATTTTGCAACTTGTCAAGCTGTAGATCGATCTTGTTCGATCATAATATAAATTACTAATATTATATATATATATATATGTATATCAATGACCTTCGCTAATTTCTAATCTCAAGAGTATAACCTCTTTATCAATATCTTTGTTTTGATATATTTTTTATCAATTTACTTTGTAAAAGGTGAATTTGATATTAGAAACTATTTTTCTCTATGTAGAACCAATTTTTTTTTCATTAAACCCTTCACTTTGGGGTAGAAATAAAGTACACAAAGTGTAACAAATTCCAAGCGGAAGCGGGAATTTTTTTTTTTTCAAAATTGTGCAAAAAAATAAGTTTTTTGGCAAATTGTTACTTACTATTCTATTTTTTGTATAAAAATAGTAAAAAGAAAGAAAGTGTATAGAATTCTGAGTAATTTGAAAAAAAATTGAACCCTGTAGCTCAAAAACTGACCGAGATATTGCAAATCCAAAAAACCCGTTTTTTCCCCTTATTTTAACCCAAAAAAACGGTATTTTTCAGTTCTTCAAGTTTAAAGCTTTCTTTTATTATTTTCCAAAAAGCGACATATAGAAAAGTTGAAGCTGACTAAATTCTGATAAACTGAAAAATACCGGATTTTTGTAAAAAAAAAAAAAAAACCCGGGTTTTTTGGATTTGCAATATCTCGGTCAGTTTTTGAGCTACAGGGTTCAATTTTTTTTAAATTACTCAGAATTTTGTACACTTTCTTCTTTCTAATAACTATTTTAATGCAAAAATTTATTAAAGAGGTAACAATTTGCAAAAAACAGATTTTTTGCACGATTTTCATAAAAAAAATTCGATTTCAGTTCATTGTAATTTTATAGACTTTATTTACATTCTAAAGTGAAGGATTTATGAAAAAAAAATTATATTTCAAAGTTAGGGTGAAAGTAAAAAAAAAAAGTGGTTCAAAATTACAGTGGAAAAATTAAGTCATTAAATATTTGTAATTGTGCAGAAAGTTTTGTTTGTCCTAATTTGCCTTAACAAGATGATAATAATCATCAGGAAACTCATTATGTAAATTATTGTCGAACAAGGCGCAAAATATTAAATTTTAGTAATTGACAGAATATTATTATTTAATTTATATATTAAACAAAAATTACCATAATTTTTAGCATAATTTTCACGAGAAGACATTTTTAATCCATAAACGAGAATAGAAAATGAAAAAAACGGACATAGAAATATATATTACCGACTGATGATAAAACAGGAAATATTTACATAAAAAAATTATCGATATGAAAATCTACATTACCGACAGATGATAAAACAGGAAAATAATCATATGAAAATCACCAACATAGAAAGCTACATTACCGATTAATGGCAAAACAGAAAAAAGAAAATATAAAAATTACCGACATAGAAATCTACATAACCAACTGATGGTAAAGAGGGATTTTTTTTCAAAGAAATGTTTGAAATTTTGTTTTACCATCAGTCGGTAGTGTAGATTTCTGTGTCGGTAATTTTTATATTTCATTTTTTCCTGTTTTACCATCAGCCGATAATGTAGAGTTCTGTGTCGGTAATCAATTTTTAAAAAAGTTTTAACCTTGTAAAAAAATTAAAATAATTATTAATTAATTATTTAAAGCAATTTATTGATTTTCTTTTTCTATATTTATAGTTGTAGATATGGAAGAGGAGTGTTTTCCTGCCATTTCAATGAAGACTGCATCGAGCCGAGAGTCATTGTCTTCACCGCCACCTTCGCCTTCACCAAGTATTGAACCATCGAAATTATCATTAATCGTAGAAGGTGGTAGTGGTGGTGGTGGTGGTTATTGCACCACTGTTAAAAGTGAAACAATTAGTGAACCCGAAAGTCCCGAAGAGACTTGCAATTTAGATGAAAAAAATCACACAATCACAATGGTCGAACCACATAGACTTCATTTTGCAAGAAACAGTGTATGCCAAACTAGTGAGAGTGATGATGATGAAGACGAATTGTATGAGGTAAATTTTGTTCTAAAATCACTATATTTAAAAAATTTTTTAACAACATTTCAATATATTCAGAATTTACTTTTTAGTACAATTTTTTATTTCGACCAAATTTACAAAATGACCGAACAAACATAATCGAGAGGAAAATATTTGGCGGGAATTTTAATATTGACCAATCAGAATTTTTGTCTAATAATTTCTGATGAATGAGAATTTTGATAAATTAAAATTTGGTTAAAATAAAATACAATTATGGCCAGGTCCAAGTGAGGCAGCGCCATCTAAATTGATACTAAAATTTTGGAAAATTTTCAACAGCCTTTTCTTGAAAACAAGATGGTAAAATGCTTTTTCCTTTATGGATAATTGATTATTGGCAAGATATACACCAGCTAAAACTTTTTTTGAGTTAAAATAATAAAAAAAATGTCATGTCAATAAATTAAATATGAGCACTTTTTTCACAAAAACTGTAACAGTACTTTCTCAGAAATTACAATCAAAAATGCAATTTCCATTTGGAAAATTAATAAACGCTAAAAAATACACGACCTAAGATTTACCAATCACGAAAATAACAAAAAAAAATTTTATTAAATATTTAACATATTGTTACTGCTTTACTGATTGTAACAGCCCTTTGGTAGATTATGTATTTCAGGTGGTTAGCAACAGCGCCAATCTCCTCCTTTCGGCAAAACTGCGAAACGTCAGGTGACATATATAACCTTGCCAAACGGCTGTCATAATGAGTAAAATATGTTATGTTAAAATACTTTTTTTTTGTTATTTTCGTGATTGGTAAATCTTAGGTCGTGTATTTTTTAGCGTTTATTAATTTTCCAAATGGAAATTGCATTTTTGATTGTAATTTCTGAGAAAGTACTGTTACAGTTTTTGTGAAAAAAGTGCTCATATTTAATTTATTGACATGAAATTTTTTTTATTATTTTAACTCAAAAAAAGTTTTAGCTGGTGTATATCTTGCCAATAATCAATTATCCATAAAGGAAAAAGCATTTTACCATCTTGTTTTCAAGAAAAGGCTGTTGAAAATTTTCCAAAATTTTAGTATTAATGTAGATGGCGCTGCCTCACTTGGACCTGGCCTTATGGATAAAAATTGCTGATGAATGAAAATTTCGTTAAATTAAAATTCGATTAAATTAGAATTTTATAGAAATAAAATTTAATAAAATTTGATTTAATTTATATGTAATTAATTTAATTTAAGTTTTTCATATTTATAAATTTTTTTAATAAATGAATATGAAATAATGGAATAAATGAAAAATGTAATTTTGGTTTTATTCTTTTTTTTTTAAATAGAGAATGGACCTTGAGGAGTTTGAGGTAACTTGCGCAGAAAGTGGTGAAACATTTAGCGCTTCACGACAAGTATTACCACCAACTCCACCAAGTAGCGCGAGTTCCGATAGTGAAGGAACAGCTTCCGCTTCCTGTTCACCAGAGCGTCGAGATCCACAAAGTAGTTCCACTCACGTACAGAATCTTCGAGGTCTTCTAACTCCAAGGCTCTATGTCAGCAATGGAATTCACACGCACACAACAACCAGACAACCAATACACACTCCACTTATTTCCTGTCAGCCGGTGAGAAATGGCTTTTTTTTTTTTTTTTTTTTTTATAAAATCAATTTTTTCACATTTTTTACAACTACATATAAATTTGCATTAATATTTTTTAATTTTTCTAAAATTTTTCTATTTATTTTACTTACTTTTTTACCATAAAAAAAATGTATACACTGAAAAAAAATTAACTGGTTCAATTAATTCAAAATAATTTTGAAAATTTGCATTTGAAAATTAAAAATCTCAAAAATTTATTTTTCCAAACTAAATATTTCTAAAGAAAAAAAAATTCGGGGCTCATGATTATCCCATAAAAATCATTAGTTAAAATTTTAAATTTAAATAATTTTATTAGATATAATTATTTTTTACACAAATTTTCCTTTTTGCGAATTAACATTTGTCAGAATTTCTTTTTTTTTTTTAAAGAAGTTTTAATTAACAGAATTTTTAGGCACTGAATTTTTATTTGGTACAAATCTTAAAACTTCGAATTTTCATTTGTCCGAAATTGCAAATGGCCGAAAAAAATGAACAGAAAGATTTCGGCGCGATTTTTTTAAAATCCACCAATCAATAGTTGTCAAAAAAATCCGTGATTGATGGATTTTAAAAATCGCGCCTAAATCTTTCTGTCGATTGTTCTTTTTTCGGACATTTGCAATTTCGGACAAATAAAAATTCGGTGACTAAAAATTCTGTTAATTAAAAATTCCTTAAAAAAGAAAATTCTGACAAATTTTAATTCGAAATATTAAAATTCGTTGAAAGAAAATAATTATATTTAATAAAATTGTTTAAAAATGAAAATTCTCAATATTAATTTTTGTTAGGATAATAATGCACCCCAAAAAATTATTAAACTATTATTTATTAAAACTGAATTATTTTGATTATTTGATGCAATTAAAAATTATTTGACATAAATTTATTTTATTGATTCAAGTAAACTAAATTATTTAATACAATTATATATATATATATATATATATATATATATTTGTTCTCAATGCTAATATATACAATATTTTTTGAAACAAATAAAAAAATAATTTATTTTACAAATATGTGTGTTAAAAAATTTACGTGAAATTTATCTATGATTTTTTAAATTAGGAGAATTTTGTTTCGTTCTTTGCAGAAAAAAATGGTACATTGAAAAAAAAATTGTTTTGATTCAAATAATCGGTTACTTGATTATTATCAAATAAATATTTATTTGTATTAAATAATTGAATTAATTAAATTTTATATTTTAAATACAGAAATTATTGTTTCAAATGGAATTTATTTGATTCAAATAAAAATTATTTGGTTCAAGTAAATTTATTTATTTGACAATAGTAACGGATTATTTGAATTAAATAAATTTTTTTCTGAATTACGTTTTTTTTTTTTTTTATTTTTTTATAAGCGATACTTTTCGAGTTATGAATTTTTAAAATAACATCTAACTATAGAAATTAATCTTTTTTAAAAAAAAAGTTAATCTAAAAGTATGAAATTTAGAAATTTTTGCCAAGAAAAAAAATTACATTACATTATTGAATTAAATAATTTTCATAATTAATTTAAATTATTATTATTTTTTTTTTTGCTCCAATTACCAATATTTATTTGTTTGAAGTTATTTAAATTTGATCCAAATTTCTATTTATTAAATATGATGAAATAAAATATTTAGGTCTGGTAAATATTTATTTGTTTCAAATTCAAATACATATTTAATTGATAATAGACAAGTAAATCATTCATTTGCATATATTAAATAATTTTTATTTCATCCAATTAATTTTTTTTTCACTTTATATTTTAAGCAAAAGTTTCTTTTATCCACAAAAAAAAAAATGTTGAAAAATAATTTTTTTGGAATAATAAATAATGCCATTTTTGAATCTAATTGTGGAATTTACAATTTGTTTTTTAAAATAATAAGTAATTAATTATTTGAATCAAATAAAAAATTAATTTGATAATAGATAATTAATTATTTGCAGGAAATATAATTTTTTTTTCCTACAATGTATAAAAATTATTTTTCAACATAATTAAAAATTCTTTCTTTGCCTGCGAATGAACACGATAATTTATAATTAGATTAAAAATTTACATTTAGAGCAAAAGATAAGATAAGCATCAAAAGGACATGATTTAAAATGAAATTTTTTTTTTTAAATATTAAATTTTTTTTTTTTTTTAATTACAGAAAGGATCGACGGGAAACTTAACATTAACAGAAGAAGAGAAGAGGACTTTAATAGCAGAAGGTTATCCTGTACCAACAAAGTTACCTCTCACGAAACAAGAGGAAAAGTCTCTCAAGAAAGTCAGAAGGAAAATAAAAAATAAAGTGAGTCCTCTCTTTTATACATAATTTATTTTTTCTTTATTTACATTAAAAACTGGTTTACGCCATTTTTTATTTGATTTAAATAAAATTTATATAAAAGAATGCTTTTATATTTCAGTTTTTAAAATTTATTTTTTAAAAATATTTTTATATATTTTATATTTATTTAATATGGATTATTTTTTTAAAAATAAAAAATAGATAAATAAATGTTTACATTATAATAAAGCAAAAAAAAAAATTTTTTTAAATATAATTTTTCTGATTTTTCAAAACAAAATAGAAAATATTCCTAATTGAAATTTAATGAAAAGAACTCATTATGAACGTCGCGTCATTTAGATAAAAGAATATGATAAAATTTTTTTCACATTGAAAAACGATTTAGAAAATAATTCAAAATATAGTAATTGATTTTAACTATTGGAAAAACTTTCTATTTTCATCTAAATGATATTTTAAATATCTTCATTTTTGTTCAAATTATAAAGTAAATCATTTACACTAGTTTAAGTGGTATTCAATGAGAAAACTTGCAAATCCGGATTTAGATTTTTAGAACACACTCTCCAACTGTTTTTTTTTGCAGAATATTATCATGAAGAGAAAAAAAAATATTGTAATAATAATAATTATTATTATATTTTTATATTATTATTTTTATTATTATTGGTTATTGTTTAAGGGTAACGATTTTTTAAAAATATTTTTTCAAAAAATCATATTTTAATACGAAAAATTAAAAAAATGTAATTTTTAACTATTTTACAATATTTTCCTTTTTTTCCTGTTTCAAAAATTTCATTAAAAAAAAAAAAAAATTTATTATCCAGAATTATGAAAATAATAGAAATTATGGGAGAAATTTAAATTTTTATTTTTCCAGAATTTCGAGTTTTATTTTAAAAATTATTAACAAAATTTTTTGTTTCTTTATTTTTTTTAAATTATAATTTTGACTAAATATTAATTGAATAATTAAACAAAAGATTTTGTTAAATTTCAGACAATAATTAAATTTTAAATAATTGAAAATAATTTATGATCAAATAATTTTAGAAAATATTTTTTCAAAATAATTGAATTTTCAATGATTTGGAATTCAGATTTTTTAAATTAATTAAACTTCAAGTGATTATTAATTAAAATTTTTTGGTGATGAAAAATTTATTAGAAATTACAGACAAAAATTGATTTTTAAAAGTTTTTAATTTGCAAAATGCTTTCAAATAATTGAATTTTTGAAGAGAATATTATCATTTTTAAATTATTAAATTTTGAAAGAGTTAGAAATGAAATTTTTAAAAAGTAATTAAACTTTAGAAGGTTTTAAATGGAAATTTTTGAAAATACTTGAATTCAATTGATTTTGAATTGAAATTTTTTCGTGATTTTTGTTGCTGAAGAATTTGATTTAAAATTAAAGACTTAAAAATTTAAACTATAATAAACATAACTATTACTAACTATAACTGAAATTTAAACTAATTAACAAACTTAAAAATTTTTTAATATTAAAAAATGCTTTCAGATAATTGAATTTTTGAAAAATATTATAAAAATCATTGGTTAGAATTTTCATTTTATAAAATTTCATTTGTCATAATAATTAGTTTTGAGCCGATTTTTTATTTCTTCGAATTAGTATTTTGCAGAATTTTCATCAAAACGATTTTCCATATTACACGAATTTTTATATAACCGAAAATTCACAGAATTTTTGTCAGAATTTTTATTTACTCGAATTTTCATTTAACGTAATAGACATTTTAAAGAATTTTTATTGGATAAAATTTTATTCCATAGAATTTTCATTTTATTTTTTCTGATGAATTTTTATCTGTTCGAATTATTATTTGATTGAATTTCCATATAACCGATTTTTCACACTAAAGAATTTTTAATTTAACCGAAAAATCATTTAACAGAATTTCTAATTAATAGAATTTTCATTTTGTCCGAAATTGCAAATGACCGAACAAACAATCGATTTTGGCGCGATTTTTAAAATCAACTAATCAAAAATTATTCATAAAATTGTGATTAGTTGATTTTAAAAATCGCGCCAAAATCGATTGTTTGTTCGGTCATTTGCAATTTCGGACAAAATGAAAATTCTATTAATTAGAAATTCTGTTAAATGATTTTTCGGTTAAATTAAAAATTCTGTAATACGAAAAATCGGTTATATGAAAATTATATGAAATAATAATTCGAACAAATGGAAATTCATTTGAAAGAATAAAATGAAAATTCTATGCAATAAAATTCTGACCAATAAAAATTCTTTAAAATGTCTATTACTTTAAATGAAAATTCGAGTAAATTAAAAATTCGAACAAATATAAAAATTCAGTGAGGGGAATTTTTTTGATTATATAAAAATTCTGTAATATAGAAAATCGTTTTAATGAAAATTCTGCAAAATACTAATTTGAATAAATAAAAATTATCCTTAAAAAATAATTACGACAAATGAAATTCGAAATGAAAATTCTAGCCAATGATTTTTATGGAATATTCATGCGCCCCTTCAATGCCTGTTAATTGTTATTTACTATGCAGTTTATTCCTCTATCATTATTTTCTAATGAAATCTCTATATTATTTTGTATGTGTTTGTAGATTTCTAGTTTCCTCGGGATATATAATATTTATGAATTCTCTTGTAAATTATTCAATAATAACAACAAAAGGAAAAAAAAATAAAAATTCTGTTTTTTTTTCTAGATATCAGCACAAGAATCGCGTAGAAAGAAGAAAGAATATATGGATGGCCTCGAGAGGAGAGTAACAGTTTTAACAAATGAGAATTCCTCCTACAGAGACAGACTGACCGACCTTGAGGATACAAATCGTGAATTACTGAAGGAATTACACCGCCTTCAAGCACTTTTGCAACTACAGTCTTCCTAGTTTCATTTCAAAACTGATGAAAAGCATCATCATCATCATCGTCATCATCGTCATCATCAATACGACCTTAATTATAACTTTTAGTATTTCATTCCTCAACGATGATGATGATGATGACGATAGAAGATCAGTATCTTCCTTTTAATAGGCTGACTACCTACTTATAAATATATAAATAAATTTGTCGACGCCGACGGCCCTAAAAACCTCGTCTATTTTGCTTATATATTCTTGTTAGTTTTATCATCATCAGTTATCGTCATTTGTGTATATTAGAGTCAATTGTAAAAGCGCATCCTCATTAAATAATGAAAAAAAAAAGAAAATTCCAAGAATTGGAATGTCGCGAGACGCAAATCATCGCTTTTGCGTTCCCGTATTTATTTCTGTGCAATATTGAATAGAAAACAAAAAGAAAAAAAATATTGTGCGCCGAGAAGAAGAAATGTCCAAAGAATATGCTTATTATTTTTTAATATAATTATCTAGCTCGATTTTTTTTTTCCAATTTATATTGTTATTTGATTTTTTTTTTTTTTTGAGATTTTTAAAGCACTTGGAGAAAAATTTCTATCTTCTGTTTTATTTTTTTGTTTTTTTTTCTTTGTGAATTGAAAAAAGAGCCTTTAGATTTTGAAGAGACGCTTGAATTAAATATTTAAATATTGTCCGAGTAGTAAATTTTTATCGTTTTTTTTAAATTTAGAGACAATTTTTATTTAAATAAATTAATAAATAAATTATAGTTCTTGTATATTTAAAAATTTGATTTTTTTACAAAGGTGCCTTAATTTTTCCATTTTTTTTAAGGTAAAAAATTGAACTTGAAAGTATTTTTTATTCGAATTTTATGATAAAAGGAATTTTTTTTTGTAACCATTTGTTTGGAAAACAATTCTTTTTTAGAAAAAATTTTTTTTTTTATTCTAATAATGATTATTAAAAAAAAGTAATTATTCATAAGCGTCGATTCGAAATAATTCAGTCAAGTTAGTATTTTTGGATTCTGAAAGTTCGGAACCAAATTTTTTATCCATTAAACCCTTCATTTTGAGGTAGAAATAAAGTGGGACGAATGAAAAAAAAAAACGGAAATTAATTTTTTAGAATTTTCATTTTTTGACAGAATTTTTGTTATGTAGAATTTATTTTTAGTCGAATTTTTATTTCTTCGAATTACTATATTTAACAGAATTTCCATTTATCCGAATTTTTTTATATTACTGAATTTTTATTTCAACAAATTTTCATTTTACAGATTTTTTTATTTCATTGGAATTTAAATTTGATAGAATTATTATTTGCTGAGATTTTCAAATGAATAATATATCTAAGATTAATTTATTTTTATTACAATTTTATATATTTGATAAAAAATTTTTTCAATTCTCTAATTTTCTTTTAACTTAATTTTTGAATAAACGAATATTTACTTCGTAGTATTTTTATTTTTCAGAATTTTTATTTTTTCGAATTTTGATTTATCATAATTTTTATTTGTTCGAATTTTAATTTGTCATAATTTTTATTTGTTCGACTTTTAATTTGTCAAAAAATTCGTATTTGTTCGAATTTGCATTTTATAGAATTTCTATTTTTTCGAATTTTTATTTGTCAAAATTTTTATTTGTGCAAAAAATCACCTTTTTTTTGCAAATTATTATCTCGCATTATATTTTAGCGTAAAAGAAATTATTACAAGAAAGAAAGTGTACAAAATTCTATGTAATTTAAAAAAAATTGAACCCTGTATCTCGAAAATTGACTGAGATATAACTTCCCAAAAAAAAAAACCCGGATTTTTTTTTACAAAAATCCGGTACTTTTCAGTTTTTTGGAATTTAGTCAGCTTTCATTTTTCTATTCACAATTTTTTGGAAAATAATAAAAAAAAGCGTTAAAATCGAAAAACTGAAAAATACCGGTTTTTTGTTGATAAAATAAGGGGAAAAAACGGTTTTTTTGGGGCAGCCATAACTCGGTCAATTTTTTAGCTACAGGGTTGAATTTTTTTTTAAATTACTCAGAATTTTATACACTATCTTCCTTCCTACTATTTTTATGCAAAAATTTTAATGGAAGGTAACAATTTTCAAAAAAAAAAACGAATTTTTTCAAAATTAAAAAAAAAATTTTTTTGTGGATTTTAATTGTAATTAAATTTCTCTGGTAACAAACTTAGGTACTTTATTTCTACTCCAAAAATGTAGAGTTTATGTCGAAAAAAAGCGAATCGAAATTAGAGTGTAATTTGTCTTTTTTTCTCAACTTGACTGGACAAAAAAATATATTATTAAATTTTAAGACTTAGAATATGGAGTAAATTTGGATTAACATCCGTTTCGACTGATTCCATAATACAGGGTCTCGTTAAATATGAGAAACTGAAAACTTATACATATATATATATTATGTACGACGCTTTTTGTGTGTGTTTGTGTGTGTGTATTTGTGTCTTTATCACAAAAAAAAAACATATTTTTTCAACTACAAAAAAAAATGAATATATAGAGAGAAAAAATTTATTAAATCAATTGTTATATAAATTTAATCGTAAAAAAAAGAAAGAAAAGTTTCCTAGTGGAAGTTTCTCACACATTTATTATAAATTAGATTTAAAAAAGAGAAATCACTTTTGAATATTAAGAAAATTTTAAATAAAATTATATAATTAATTAAAAATAATTAATTAAAATTAATTTTTAAAAAACCAATTGATTAAAATTAATTAAAATCAATTAATATTGAAAAAAATTAATTAAAGAAAAATAAAAAGACTGAAATTATTAAATAGTCACCAGAAATAATTTTTTTTTTTTATATATTTGACATTGTTGGTACTTTTATTTTGTAATCAATTTAATTTATTTGTTAGCTTATTATTTTTTTTTTGCTGGTGACATTTGAAAGAAGATGTGTATTTTTTCTAAAAATATATTAAGATTGATAAAAAAAAAGAAATTACGAAATTTCCACTAGGTAGTTAAATCGAAAGAAATAATTTCTTTCGAAAAATATTTTTTCAACTATATTTATGAATTTTTCATATAGAAAAAAAAATGTATTCACAATAATGTGTTTCATTTTTTTTCTCACCGAATAATTAACACCAAAAAAAAAAAAAAAAAAAAAAAAAAAAAAAATTTCGGTACTAATTTTGAAAAACAAGGAAGAGACATTTTTTTTGCTCCGATTTGGGAGTATGAAAAATTATGTGTTTTTAATAATAATCTTTTGAAAAAAATGATGTTTGTTAAAAAGTAGCATAATAGAATCATTTTTTTTTTTTTTTATATAATCATATTGATTGTTTTTAATCATTCCATTACGTTTTAGAAAATAATTTTGTGATGCAGTCTCGAAAAAAAAAGAAAAATGATCAGAGAGACTAAACTTAACTTGTGACAAGTGTGATGAACTTTATAAACCGAAGAAATTAAATTTTTTTTTGTGATTCTCTAATACGAGTGTAAAGAAAGAAATTCAACAACTAAAAATTGTCAAGATATTTTTAGAAAAACGAATTTTTCGTGTTAAAATTTTTTTTTTTTATTAAATGACTAATTATTTCATTTTTTATTCGAAATTAGTTTTTTTTTCTTCAAAAAAATTTTTTTTTTCAAAGAAAATAAAAAATTTTTTTCAAAATTTGAAAAAAAATATTTATTAATTCCAAAGAATATAAAAATTTTCTAAGATTCAAAATGGAATATTTTTTCTTAAATTCTTAATTTTTTTTCCGAATTTAGAAAAATTTTCTGTGTTTTTAAATTTAGAAAATATTTTTTTCAATTTTTTTTTATTTCAATGACAATATTTATATACAATAGTTGTTGAATATTCCTTTAAAATACAAAATAATTAAGAAGAAAAAATTACGTAGGAGAATAAAAATTACGAACATTGTTAAATTGTATTTAGGTATGAGGAAAATTTTATTTCTAATTTTAAATTTGCAATTTTTTTTTTTCACGAAAAGTTAAGAAATTATATTTATCCATTAATATTTTTAATTTACTTTTATTTTTGTTTAATATTTTCCTCGAAAGGAAACTATTTTTTTTTTTTGGACATTTTTTTATTTTCCATTTTCTTTTTAAGTTTTAAAAAATAAGATATATTTAAAATAAGGTGTGTCCAGATTGCATTTGATATAATTGTATGTGTAAAAAGATGTGTGAATTATATTTTAAGCGGCGTATTGTATTCTTTTAGAGAATTTTTTTTTTCAAATTCGATTTTGAAAAAAATTTATATTTTAGAATTTTGTTTTTAGATTGCGATAATTGGTTTTTTGGTTTATGTGTTTTAATTTAAAAAAAAAATTAAATTCGAATATTAAAAAATAATAGAAAAAAAATATTTTGCTGAAAATCGATTTTTCTTTGAAAATAATAATGTTAAAGAAAAAAAAAAAATGATAGAACATTCGATAAAGTGAGAAATGGAAAAAAATTAAATTTTTTTTTCGAATAGAAAAATGATCAATTTTTGATCAATTTTTAGGAGTAAAAAATTACTGAATATTAATAATAATAATAATAATTACTACTTTGGAGTTAGATAATATTTTGTGATTTCTTTTAAGTTGAAAAAAAAATGAAAAAGTAGCTAAAAAAATTTTTTATATTCAAGAAAGTAAAAAAATTTCTAAGTTGAAAAATGTAAAAATATTTTCTAAATTAAAAAATAAACTAATTTAAAAATAAACTTTTTTCTAATTTTACAATTTAGATAAACTTCATTTTTTTTAAATTCAACGTTACTTAAAATTTATTTCATTTTAGTATTTTTGAAAATAGAATAAAAAAAAATTCCTTCTTCTGAACTTAGAAAAATTTCAGTATTTTTGACTAAAAGAAAAAAATTCCCTTTTCTGAACTTTGGAAAATTTTTTTTCTTTTCAACTTCAATTTTTTTTTTACTCTTTTAAACTTTTTTTTGAACTTATAACAATTTTTACTTTTTCTGAACTCAAAAAAATTTTTTAATTTTAATTTAAACTTTTCTTTTGCCTTTTCTGAGACTTTTTACTTTTTAACTTTAATTATTTTTCATGCATTTCCATTTAATTCTCAATTTTGTAGAAAATTTGTAAAAAAACAAAATCAAAGGAATAAAATTCGTTAATGTTTGTAAAAATTCGAAAACTCTTCTAATTCAAAAAAAAAATTATAATTATTTTCTATTTCTCCATTGGAAGCAATTATTTTTTTTTGTATCTTAAAAAATATCTCACAAGTTTTTGTAAATTTTTCATTTGTTAAATTTTGATGAAAAAAAAAATCAACCGTCTCGTATTCTTTGTAAAAAATTGATTTTTCTATAAATTAAAAAAAATTGCTATTTTTAATATTTTTTTTAATTAATACTTTTTTTAAAAATCTTTTTATTGACATCAAAATTAGTCGATTTTCATAATTTCCAATTGAAAAAAAAGCAAAAGGAAATAATGTAAGAAATTTTTTTTGTTAAGCGTTATAAATTTTTTTTTTTTTGTTATATTTAAGAAATAAGTTTCGTAAATCTACGATTTTTTAATGTGGTGCTTCCAATATCAATTTAAGTGAAATTATTATAGTAAAGGGCTTGCATTTGAAAAAAATAATTTTTAGAATTTTTCAATCGATAATAATAATTATTATTATTACAATAATTTTTTGTTAATTTCCACAATGCGTTTATTTACACAAATCAGTCAAATATGTTGTATTTTTATTTAGTTTTTAATATGATCTATATAGCTTGTAAAAAAAATTCTCTCCACTCAATATAAAAAAATTGAGTTTAAATAGTGCGAGCACATCGAAATTTAGCTAGGCAGGCAAAAAAAAAAATATATATCTCACAATTATCACTTTTGTCTTCGATATTTCATTTAGTCAATTTTAAAAATAATCTTCTTTGCAAAAAAAAAAAATAATACACATTTCTCGCTCCAATAATCCAAAGATTATATTCTCTTTATATTATTATTATTATTAATTATTCTTCTTGTCAATATACTTGCCTAGCATAATAATTATTATATTGTTAATAATAATAAAAAAAAAGAACTTTGGATTGAAAATTTCCAAAATTCGCAAATAAATTGATGGAAATTTTCAATTTATGCGAATTTTTAATTCAGACCAAGTCAGAATATTTGTAAAAGAAAATCTGCTGAAATTTAATATTAAACAGCAGAATCTTACTACCTCTTATATTATCTATCAGAAAAAAAAACCTTGGCAATCAAATGACAATGGAATTTTTATTGTCAGATTAGAAAGAAAAAAGTGTGCAAAAATATTATATTGATAGTCTTGAATTTAAAGAAAGAAAAAAAAAATTATATGTATACAAACTGAGAAAATGACTTTTTTGCTGAAAATCTTATGAAATTGTTATTTTTACAGTGTAATGGTTACATCTATTTTAATTCTCTTTCTGAACAGAGTTTAATATATTTATATATATATATAAATCTTTAAAACAAATATATATAGATTTCTATATACTTTTACGTATATATGATATTATATATTCTATATAAAAAAAAAATGTTTTTATCGACAGAATTTAAATGTACAAAAATGGTTTAGTTTTTTACCTTTCTAAAAAATTTTTTAGTACTCTCTTTTTTTTTAAATTTCATTTTCTTTTCTACATAGAGACTTTATAAAAACAAAAAAATATTTTTTACAACAATAAAATAATGTAATATTATATTTTATTGATAATAATTCAACCTGGATGAAAATTTTCAATATTTTTCAAAAATTTGTAGCTAAAAAATTAGAAAGGAAACAAATAAGAGAAATATTTTACGAACCATTCTAGTACATATGTTTTACGATACAGAGATATTTATGTATCTTATTGTACATAACGAATTTAATGATTTTATATACATATATATATGTCGCTAAGCAATATTATATTTTATTAAATATAGGTGAAGTATATGATGTGAAATGTAGAGAAAAAAAATAATTTTTTTTTTCGAGTAAATGTGAACTTTTACCATCAGGTATTTGAATTTATTATTCATCAGGTATGGAAAGTATATATATATATATATATTTATACACATTTAAGGATAGTGTATAATTCGTGGATTTATATTCTATAGAGTAACATATGGGACTTGTATGTATAAGTTTTTGTCACGTGATCATTTTATCACGTGCGTATCATTGAAAAACGATTTTGAATGACTTTTGTCTGATAACAATAATTATTATAAATAATAAACACGTGTGAAAAAAAAATTTTTTTTTTGATACATTATTTTACCCCATTTATTATTATAATATTAATTAATATTAATATTAATTATTAATGATAAGATTCAAAATATTAAAAAAAAAAACTTATTTTTATCAGCAGTGTTATGTAAAAAAAAATTAATAATTTATTAATATTTTTTTCCAAAAAAATTAAGAATTAATTAAAGAAATAATTGTAATAAACAATAAAGTTGTAAACTTTTAAATTATAAAAATTAAAAAAAAGGAAGCCAACACTACGCGGTATTCCCAAGCGGTCACCCATCCAAGTACTAACCGCGCTCAATGTTGCTTAACTTTGGTGATCGGACGAGAACCAGTGTAACAACATGAAATGAGCGTTGACTGAAAATATAAGTTTTACAAATTGTCCAAATACTTTTTACTTAAGTCAACCACAATCATAAAAAAATTACAAAAAAAATTCAATTTTTCTTAGGCAGACGATTTCATTGCATATTCTTGCACAAAATACACCCAAAAGTGTAGAAAAAAATTGACAGCCCAATACATTTTTTTAACTTTCATTAATTCTTTAAATTTACCTCAAATGTATACTTTATATATATATATCGATTGATTCGTCTTGACGTAAGGAATACGATTTTATTATATATATCCTTAAATTTTTCGATTTAAAAATTTTTTCCATTAAAAAAAATTTTTTTGAAAAAAGACGATAAAATTTTTTTTTTGGGTATTTTTTAAAATCCTTTGGTCAGATTTGAGATATTAATATGATAAATGAGCCTACCAAATTTTATTTAAATCCATTAAAACCTGTTAAGGCCAGGTCCAACTGAGGCAGCGCCATCTATATTGAAACTAAAATTTTGGAAAATTTTCAACAACCTTTTCTTGAAAACAAGAAGGTAAAAATTTACGTGACACATCGATTCTGAGAAGCAAATGAGTTCAAACATGTGGCCGATAAATTGTAAACATAAATGTTTAGGGAAGTATCACCCACATTCTATTATCTTTAATACAAAAGAAACAATGGTATTGTCAAAATTTAAAGGGACTTTATATTCTTAATTTCTATTATTCAATATAATGAATCACGTGCTAACTATATCATCAGATAAGATTGTAAACGTGTAGT